TTCGCCAACGTCCTTGCTATGAGCCCAGGGCTTGTCACGCTGAAACTTAGCGATATCGTAATAACCCGATGGAATTGGGGATCAAACGACATGGACCAGAGCGTGCCATCCCCTACCACTCTCAACCACTTGAAGGTGCTCAACCTGGTTAAAATTAGTCCTGTGCCCTTGGAGTACATCTTACCCTCGATCGTCCAACCCAATGCTGCCGCCCAACTCAGCGTTGGTCTGACGTTCTACGAGGACGGTCCGCACGACGAATACCAGCATTTCTTTTCGCGTTGTCATGTCACAACGTTATACCACGAATCCGACGGCGAGCAACTTTCACTTGGGGATATTCCTGCGAGCGTCCGTCGACTCGTAGTGTTCCAATCCGATATCAGCCAACAGCCCTCTCTCGCTAAAGAAAGACGGCAAGATCCAGGCGCGCCATCCACCCTTCACATACCGCACGTAACTCTTGTGTCTTGCATCGTGACTTTGGAGGGTTTGGTGAGCCTTGTTGCCGAGATCGGCATCCAGGTTCTCAGTCTTGATTGTTGCGTGACGGGCCATCTGACGGACCTGGACGGAGTGGTGCGCGATGTTTCTCAGGATGTAGCGACGTCCTTGATGGAAGTGTATCCCAACGTCGTGTGCATCGTTTCGGATGTTGACTCTGCTCTGGATTTGCCATGTCGTACTATGTTTGACAACGTAACGCCAGTGTAGCTAGGGGTTGAAAAGTTATCTGCATTCTTGTTTGACAGATTTGGCGGGTCGTTGAGAAGAATGAAGAATCAGCCAGTTAGCACGTGCCGTTCAGGTGGAATAAAGCATATGAATTCGACGATAGGTTGAAGGCATATGCGCACCGAATCATGACTGGATTCGATAACATCATACAAGTTATAGCCCCCGCCGATACCACCGTTCCCTTCAATCAGACCAGGCGCGCCTCAGACGCCAACAATTCCTCCCACCATACGTCCGTTTCTCTATTCGTGTGCACCTCTGGCGTCCCTGCACCTGCCATAAACACATTATACCCAATCGATATGCAATAGTTGGTTAGGAGTCTCTACGCTTGAAGGTACCAGCAAAATATTCATAGCGATAGGAAAGACGAGGTCATTGCCAAAGTTGAGAAAAGCTGAAATGAATAGATTTATATGCTGAGCCATCAAAGTCGTTCAAGTTTGTTGGTGACGGTCAGGTCGGAGGTGGACCTGGGCGCTTACGAGCCTTGACCAACTCGACCAAACGCGCCTCTTTGATTTTATCCTGATCGCTCTGGTCTCCGCCATGGTCCCTCGACAGTGTTCGTCTAGTGCGAGGACACTCATTCACGATGCATTAAAAGCACGGCAAACCATACAGGGGACTAGGGGTATAATAAAGAGTTCGTCCTCGTCCTCCCACTGCTTTAAATTATCTATCCAACTTTTTCATAAATAGACCTCCGAGCGTTTAGCGTCGCTGCGTTCAACCAACCCCAACCTTCACCCCGGCACCCTCCTCAGACTCGATCTCGGTATGGAATTACCAGGCCTTCGGGATGGGAGCCCCGATCTCTTGTCGCGCCGTGCTCGGACGAGGACGCTGTTGCGTATTTCGCCAGGCTACTACCCCCGCTAAAGTTCCCCCGGGAAACTACTATGCGGATGATTACCCATACAAGTTGGAGGGCCGGGATGGAAGGAAATAACAACCGATTCTCGTTTATTGGTGAGTCGATCATTTCGACTCCGCTGATAGCGATCTCATTTGGAGGCAGGTCGACGAGTACTGCAAGCCTACATGCTAGCCTTTCTGCACGCCCATACACAACTAACACCCACACCGCCCCTCACAGAACCCCCCTCGGGCCCACCACCCGACACCCAAATATCGCACCTGCCCATGCCGAGCTCGGTCCTCGAACAAGACTTTGACGAGATCACGAACAAGGCGGTCAACACGCAGGTGTTGGGCTCGTTTGTCGGAAACGTGTGGGAGCTCGAGAGGGTGATGCGTTGGGTTCCGAATCGGGTTGGGGAGAGCATTTCGAACGATCCAGGGTTGTATAAGATCAGAGGGACGACGGTCGAAGCTGTTGTTGGAGGTGTATTCCACCAATTCGTGAGGAAATTTGATACGAGACTCTTCTTCCGACTGACTTGGGGATAGGGAGGCGTGGCTGCACACCGACTATTTCACACCCGACTACTTCCTCATGTCTCCACGCTTCTACCGAGCGAATACCGGGGACCTGCACAGACGGCGTGCAGGCGGCTGGGTGGACCGTCTGCGCCTCTCCTGGCCTTTGCAGCGCCTTGAAAACAACCACTTGATAAAAGATGAATTACCCCTTGTATCCACCCCACCCGCTGTTTTATCATAAGCATATTTATCCCTGACAACCCCTTGGTAATAAAGAATGATCGCTCACGTGAGCATGGGAGTTTCCCCACATCCGAGCGCAGACCTAGTTGCCTAGTTGGGACGGATATTCATTTGGGTGATAATGCGGTCCCGAGGAAATTGGGTGCATGCGGGGTAGACAACAACAGGCCAACTATTTTATCATCGGTCAATGATGCGGAGTCTTATTGCAATCCAATTACACCTTGTACAGCCTATCACCACTCGCAAGACGTACAAATCCAGCCCCGAAGCCGAGGTCACAAGACCAGGGATGGCGTGCGCCTAGCCCAAACGCGGTATCCCATCTTGCGTTCAGCCAGCTACGTCCTCTTATAACCCCCAACCCCACCTCGGTCTCTCCCATTCCCTCCTTCTGTCTTTCCTCGTCTTTCACGCTCACACGACATCATGTCTTCTGCTGAAACCGTCGAGATTGCCGACTGCGTCGTTTGTGCCAGCCACCGCCTTGAAGTCGTACGTCTTGATCGATTGGGGTGTGTGAGCTGGTGCTAAACCGTTGCTCTAGTGCGGGGAATGCGACTTTGACGGACGAGAAGACAATGATCTTACCTTTGGTGTACGTCCCTCGTCGATGACCAGTCGCTCGTGCTTATACTCTCTTTCTGGTAGCTTGAACCCTCGGCTCGGGCGCCGCTAGATATCCCAGCGACGTCAGCCAACAAGGATGGCGCGTAAGTCCAATTAACCACCAGTGCATCCACATCGAGTTGATCAGCCCACCGCTAGCATCCAATGCAGGAAGCACAGCAGTCAGGAGTGCAAGCAATGCTTCGGCTGGAAGAAACAGCTCCAGAAATTGCAGAGGGACGCTAAAAAGGGCAAATAATCGTGCGCCTTTCTCCTCCCCCACCGTACTCTCTGGCTAATCGACGTTGATCCCCAGCTTCGACCTCGCGCCTGGCTCGGTACCCGCGTGCTTGTATTTCTTTGAACCCCGTGCTGTTGTTGTAAGATACGCCGAGTGCGGCGGGGCGAGCCCTTGTGCGATTTGTTGTACCTGTGAGAGTGTATTAAACCCCAAATGACATCTGTATCCAATTGTGGTCGTGTGAACAAGGGAGGCACCGGTCACCGATTCAACATACCCGAGATGAATCCCGGTAGTGATGGCCACTTTCTCAACCCTGGATGACCGAGGCTCCCGAGCAAGACAATTTAGATAATGTCTGCCATGCACATGAAAAACCTCTGCGTTTATCTCCAAACTATCCCAGTCGAGGCATCAAACCAGGACGGCTTAGCAAAGTGGTTACTGCGATTGATTAGAAATCAATTCCTCTCTGAGGGCGTAGGTTCGAGTCCTACAG